TAAATAAATTTCTTTATTGTTAATTATTATTTCTCCAATTCTTTGTATTCATAATTATCAAACAATAAATTAACTATATATTATTATTATTATTATTATTTTGAAATTTTGACAATGTAATTTTAAAATTCCAAATAAATTAATAACCTTATAAATCAGTCCCTTATAATTAAAAGAAAAATTTTTCTAACACAACCTTTCAAGTAGTTATAAGCGACTTTATAGGGAACAGTTTGGCACAACTATTGCTGCTGAATTTGCTTTAGTCTGCATACTGGTTGAGTGATAATCTTAAAATAAGTGTGAATAAAAGAAATGCTTCCGACCTGGCATAGAGTAACCAATATTTAAGCTAGCCTTTTCTTTTAACTGTCATTAAAAGTTCCAGTCTGGCTCTAAAAATTTTATTATGGTTGAAAATCGCTTACTACATGAAAAACGGAGATTTTTTTTTTTGAAGCGGACAATAATAATTTTATTCATGTAACGTTTATATTGAATGACACTTGATCTGCAATGTCCTGCGACTAATAATGGAAATTCTATTATGTCACACTAATTTGTGATATCTATAAATTTATATTGTGCTACCTAGGGGTAAGTAAATATATGGGGGGACAACTGAATGTTACACATATATATTTGTCAATTTCAAAACTGTCGCCCCGATGAAATTACTAGTGTTTATTAGTAAAAATAAATAAAGTGTGAAACATGTACATATTGTACACCAAAAATTCACAAATTAATCTTAGTTAAATTTTCATACTTGTATAAGGATACCGGCTGCAACTTTTGATGATGGTTGCTACCATCTTTGCGTCATATAAAAATGATTGCAACCACTGGTTGCAACCACCTTTACAACCATTTTGTTTCCTTTTTTGGATTGTGACATGAAACACTATACTTGTAAGAAAAAATCTTCAGCTTTCTTTTGATATAATTTTTTTCAAAATATCTTTCCTAAAGCTTCAAAAAAATACCATCAGTTGTAAAAAATATTTTTTCTTTGTATTTTCAACATTACACATACTATTTACAAGCTTTTATATATGTATACAACTTTAAAACAATATAAACTTTGTTTTATTTGCTTGTTGGTAATCCATTTTTTGTATTTAAAGACTAAATTTTGCCCCAAGAGAGCTAATTTAGTGATTTGGTTTCATTTCTCTGGTAATCTCAGGAATTTGGTTTTCTTTATTAATATTAATAAAAATATCACAACATTGTTGGAGAAAGAAATAAAATAATTTATCCTTTTAAAACTTTTATTGAAAATGATGTTTAATTAATGGTAAAAACATAGATTGAATTCTTTATTACGAAGCAGAATGCATAATTATAAATGCTACACATATATTTTTTTCAGTAACATTCCTTTACATAAAATACATAATAATAATAATATCCTTTTTTCCTACATGTAAATTTAATGACCAATCTTTAAAAGTATTAAATATGCACATGAAGTATACCTATTATTTTATATATACACCGCCTTGTTTTTCTCTGTCATCTTTGAAATAATAATAAAAATAAATATACTTTTAATAATAGTTTATATGTATGTATGTATGTGTGTGTATATATATAGTATTATATAATGGATGACAATTCATGATCAAAGGTAAAATGTTGATTTGATGAAGTCAATGAAAAGTTGAAAAGTAAATAATATATTAGACTTTATAACAAAAAACCAAGCCTATGTATTAAAACATTCAATAAAGAAATACTATATTAATTTTTTATTTATTATAAACATTTTATTTTTATCAATTTGGAACTAAATTTCCTTCCCTCCGATATTAATATTGGTTTTTCAAATTTGAGTAATGATCTTCAAGCCAATAAAATTTAATTTTTGCGTGATATCTGGAAGGGAGATCTTCACATAATTTAGCCAATGAAATCAAATGTCCACTATGCTTATATAAATATAAATATAAATATAAAAAGATATATTCTAAATATGTTTTTTAAATTGTATACACCACTTTATAATTACACCCTGAGTATATCTGTTATTGTTGTTTAAAAGTCCTTCTTGTTTTTTATATGCATCATAGAAAAATCAAGATACAACCTATTATATGATCTTTGTACTATTGGAAAAAGTTGAACATAAGTTATAAGTTAATCAAATATATATAATAAATACTTATTTCTTTAAAGTATAATAATGATGAGAATATAGAATAAGACTTTACCTGCAAGTATAATAATAACTTATTAATAAAGTAAAATGTTATCATTCATATTTAAAAAAAAAAAAATTAAATAACAATAATAAATAATAATGACACAATTTTGACAGACAAGATTACAGAAGCCTTAAACTTTTACTTCTAAGGTAACTTATTGAAATCAAATTGATCAAATTGATCAAGTTTTACCAAAATATAAAGAAAAGTCAAAGTGATATATTAATATAAAAAAAAATAGATTTTCCATAAAATGGGTTTTGTGCGCAGTCACGCAACTTTTTTCTATTCTAAATTCAATTGAAATGGCAAGTTTCACAATATAAAAAAGATCGACGATCGATTTTGTCACAAGTGATAAAACGAATGTCCACTATGCTGTCACGTGATAAGTCGGTTTTGGCCAAAAAATTTCACCCCTTTTTTTCACTATTTAAAAAAATTCGATAAGTCGGTCAATCTTATAAAGTCGCGATAAGACCTAAGTCGGTCAATCACTTAAACTGGTATAATTAAATTAGTCGCGATAAGTCGGTTTCGCGTGATACATTACTCACATGACTAAATTTTCGAATCTTGATTGGTGGTTAGTTTTTGTTACACGGGATGAAAATAAATTGAAAGTTTATTTTTTAACCTATTTTATTATGTGGCTTTATTTACAGTTTGATTAGAAACAATTGCGAATTATCTGAATTATCTATATCAAGAACCTACATTTTCGAAAAAAACAATAATAATTTTTATCTTTTGTCTCATTAATTGTTAAATTTGTGAAAATTATTAAGTCTGAAATACAACCAATTTCTTGAATAAAGATAACAATTAAATTTGTGAAAACTATTAGGTCTAATCCAAAATATAAACAATTTCTAACCTTTGTCTCAAACAAAGATAACAATTAAATTATTAGGTCTACAACCAATTTCTAACCTTTGTCTCAAATAAAGATAACAATTAAATTTGTGAAAATTATTAGAAATACAATCAATTTCTAACCTTTGTCTCAAATAAAGATAATAATTAAATCCATAAAATTAGTGGATCTAATCTGAAACAAAAAACAATAAATTTCTATCCTTTGTCACCTTAATCCATAGAATAAAGATCCTTTACCAAATTTCTTATATAAAGGATGAATTTACTGCCATGTACCTGTTATAAAAAAATAATATTAATTGTTTAATTAATTAAAATGAATACACAAAGAAATAATGCTGAAGGAACATCTGGACCTACTAGTAAAGGTGGCAGTAAAAAAGGAAGGAAATTAAAAACTCTTACAGCTATTAAAAAAAAAGAATTATGTGAATATAAACTTGATAACCCATCCAAGTCACATGAAGCAATTGCTGAATTATTTGAAATTAGTAAATCAACTGTGGGTGATATTTTGAATAACAAAGAAAAATGGCTTGCAGTTGCTGAAAATTCAGCAGATGCCAATAAAAAACGTGGTCGTGGAAGTGAATGGCCACAGTTAGAAGAAACATTGTTGATTTGGGTAAATCTTGCCAATGAGGCTAATCATACAGTAACTGGTGCAATTCTGAGCCAAAAGGCAGCACAATTTGCTCGAAGACTTGATATTTCCGATTTCAAATCATCACAGGTATTAATCTCTTTTGTTTTAATAAACTGTGGTTATTAAGTAAATCGATCT